CTAAAGATATACATATACAGGAGGGATAATAGACAAAGTTCAAGTTGACTTTGAACCAGACTGTAGAAACACTGAATAAAAGCTAAGTAAAGTGAAATTCTTCACATAGGGCATGGGGCCAATGTTTTAACAGATTAACCAATCTGAAGGGCACTGAATGGCCAGAGGAAGCCATCAGACACCACCCAGGATAGTTAAGGAAAGGCAAGCTGGAACTGCAATGGAAAGGAAGAATGGATTCTAGGGAGACATTTGGCCCTAGTGACTATTTGGATGTGTAAGGGTGAGGTCTCAAGCTTGATTGATCAGAAGAGTAATACCACAGAGAAGGTCTCATTCATTTATACATAAAGGAAATTTCAGTATTATATATTCTGAGATGACAGTGGTACATCCATGAAGAAATACCAATTCAGCAGAAACACAAAATTAAAGTTCTAGGGGTCTGTTCAGGTTAGAGATATACAATGAGAGGCATCTGAAAGATTGAAACCACTGAAAAGGGATGACAGAGAGGTAGATGGAAAGCAGTGCTACTGAAGGTCAAGGGAGGATTTTTGACTAAACAGGGGCTATGTAACATGGGAGTAAGTGAGAGGAAAAGTACCCATAGAAAGAGATTAAACTTGGCTCCAGGTTTATACTCTTTATCTTCGTATCCTCAAATCTAGCTTTGCTTAAAATCCTTTTTTTCCTTAAAATGTGTTCTTTTTTCCCTTTGCTGCCAAGACACTCATTACACCCTGCCTTGATTTACACAAACTCCTTCTCATGGCCTCTTTCTCATCAGTTCCCTATTCCACTCTTTGCCAAATGGTATTGCCAAGTCCATTTTCCTTTCCTGCTATTCAGACTATGTTTCTCCCACTCTACTTTGGCTTCTTTTCACCTTCCAGCCTCCCCGCAACTCTGCACCTGCTTACAACTTTTCCACTTTCTTCCTAAGTGCCCCACCCTACCCCCACCCCCCACCACTTTCCTCTGGCCTTCTCATATCCTCTGGTATCTTTAACCGCCAACTTCTGGCTCTTAGAACTTTAGGTCAACACCTTACGTCATCTTCCCCCACAGACTTCCCAACTTGTACACATCAACATAGTTCCTATTCCTGCTGCAAAGAAACCTGGCTTATCCACTTCCTTTTGAAGCTTGCTAGCTCTCATAACTTGTATGCTGCATGCTGCTTTCCCCCAGAGTGTACAAAAGAGTAGTGCATGTACTGTACTCTTTCCTGTCCCTACTACCTCTAGGGCCTTATATTGTTTGTTCTGGAAGAACATGATTTCATTACTGTCAGATGATTTCTGCTCCTTGTAAAGCACGTATTGGTGTTACCTTGGGGTATTGCATAAATAATACAAATCTCACAATGCTCTCTGATGAGAGGGCTTAAACCCAGCCAGTTTGTCCAAAGGCACCTTGAATTCTGTGTCAGTAATGTCTAGAAAAAAACCATATCTGTCAAGAAAAGGGAGAAGATTAATGTACAGAAGGGAAGTGGTGATGTTTCTATTGTCTTCAACAAACAATGATCCTGGGAAAAAACATGTATTTGAATTTGAGTGAATAAGAAATTCAGTGAACATTAAGTGTAGCTCACCATAGACTCCTTTTCAGCTATGTAACATTCCTCAAAGACAGATCCTACTGTCACTATAGAAAGCCACAGTTTGCCTTGCCACCTCTGCACCTCTGCTCATGACAGTTTCACTTAGAAAATTAGTATGTGTGTGCTTCATTTTTGGTGAAAATACACACTATAAAACTGAAGAATTAATTTCAAACGAGGTCTATATTTAGGAATACATAGACAGGTATGAAGAATAAACTAGAATATACATTTTTAAAGCATGATTTAAATAATTACTTAATTTTATTTTTTCAAGAAAAAATACTTTAATACCTAACATTTAGTTACATATACTTGATATTTTCATAAAATATAGAAATTGGATATTAAAGAACAGTTTTTTTGCATTTTATTTCTTTTAAATAGTTAAAAAACAAAACCTATGATATTCAGTATCCAACTTCTATTTTTAGTAAGAATCAGAAAATTGTCAAACTGCCTTCCATCATACAAATGACTTTATCACAGATAATAAAATTACGCAAACCTCAAAGACTAAATAACCATGTAAATGGTTTCCATGTTTTTTGAGATGGATGATAGATCATAACAGTGATGGGTTATGAATTCCAAAAAAAAAAAAAAAAAACATTGTCCTCTGGAATATAACAAAAAAGTGAATGAAGAAGCAGATTTAAAATACAAAGTGGAACCAAAATAGAAAAATCACATCAATTTTTAAAAGCTCAAGGAAGACAGAAACAATGAACATATAGGTTACACTATATGAACCTCTGGCAAGAAAATCATTTAGAATTGACACATTATGATTATGTTAATAGAAGGAAATGGTATGTATTTCACAAGACGAGTGACATTATTTGCCTCATTCCACGCCATGTCAAAAACTGTAGAAAATCACAGTCTCTTCTACCAAACACCTTATCACATGCTTCTGGCCTAGAGGTAGGCCACCAACCATGGTTGTTGAGAACTCTTAATTTTCTTGTCTAGTTATTAGCTAGAGAGTTAATTAAGAATCATCATGGGAAAGAATTAAGTTCTTGTTGATAAGGTCTTGCATTCCCAGTAGGATTCAAAAGAACCCAGGTTAAAGCACAGACTACTTATGTAGATGAAGATCAACAGTCAGTTTGTCCAAAGGTCAAAAATAATGAACTCAAGGAAGATATGGCCAGATAGGGTGTAACAAAGATCCAGGAGATTAACTTCATATGCATTCTTGGGCCATGTATATATTACATATTTATGTACATATATTCCAATAATATATATGTCTTCTCACTTTCCTCTGCCTCATCTCCCACCAACTCTTCATTCTGTAAACTCCAGCTCAGCTAGCCTTCTCTTAGGATACAATATGTTCCTTCCTGACTCAAGAGTCTTCATACCTGTTCTTCTGTCTGCACAGGCTCTCATCCCCTTTAACTATGGTAACTTCTATTTAGGCTTAATTCTACTTTAAATTACCATACAATAGCTTCACAGAAACTTGCAGGTTTCCCTCAGTGTATCAACTCTGGTTGTGGTTAATTGTAATGTGTGTGTCTAGGTCTTGGGTAAATGATGTACTCTGAGAAGAGGGGACCTATCATTTTGGAATTTCCTATACAAACTGTAGTCCAAGTGCTTAGCACAGTACCTAGCTATAGGAATAGCCTGGTCAATATTTGTTGAATGAATGGATACATGAAGGATTCTCCTGGGGAACATGGTATTACTCTAAACAGTATACAAAATTCTACTGCTTCCAAAAGGGAAATTTCTTATGCTCGGATTTACTTACCTCCTGAATCCAGATTCAAACTTTAAAGCTTTCTCTGAAGATATCTTGGTGACCAGGAAAAATTCCATTCTGGAATTTGGTAGAAGATGGGAGCTAGAAGATACCTTGGGCCCAATCTGCCTAGAGAGGGAAGTGACTTGCCATTAACATTTAGCAGTGTGCAAGACCATGGCAAAGAGAGCTCTCCCAACACACAAATCACAGCCAATGATTTCATGGAGCTCTGGGTCACATTATGATCTACTTTAACCTAATTTAATGAGGTCATAGTACTATTCTTAAGGGAGGAACCCCTACTTGTAGGATAAGGATGGTTTCAAGAAAGCCATCCAAGTGGGTCAGGAGCACTAGATCTAAATAACATCCACAGATCTAAAGGAAAGTGCTATTATTGTCAAGATGTATTGCTGATTTGCTATGAGTTACACATCATGAAAGACTAGTTTCTCTGATCTAGGCAGATCTATCCTTCTCAAAAGTATATATACACTGTTAACATTCATGTGTGGTTTCATTTTTGTTCAATAAATTTGGGAAGTATTGTACCTACACCCTCATTCTTAAGACAGTCACAAAGTGTGTAGCACATTGATAAATTCGAGAAGTCCTGCAATAAAGAAGGTTTTTCAACTCATTTGACCAGAAAAAACTTATTTTAAGGAAGACTTTTGTGTCAATCAGGAGACACTTAGCAAGACTGCTATATCAAACAACAGATAAACAATTGATAAACACTATTAAATGCTAATGGAGAGTCACTTTCCTCTCCAAGAACACTGGGTCAGAGGCAACTTCTAGGTCTTTTTTTTCTCTTTAATTCTAAGATGCAATTTTTCCTGGTCACTTGTCTTGATCACCAAAATATCCTCAGAGAAGACCTTGAAGTTTGCATCTGGATCCAGAAGGTGAGTATATACATCTATATATAAGGTGTGCACGTGTATGTAATATGTATATATAAAACATTGTATATAGGATATATGCTGTGTAACTACAGTTGGCTGACTACAGATCTTGTGCCACATGGTCCTAACTCTGAGAACCACAGTGCCATAGCTGCTGAGCATTTCTGGCTGCTCTCTCAGAAAGAAAGTTAGTTCTGGATATTTTCCCAAGTAAATGTTCCAGCCTCAGAGTCACTGATTGTCATTATTATCATTATCCCATGTCTTACAAGTGACACTTTGTATGTCACAAGCCTTGCAGAAATTCTACAATGTGATTTGCTTTAATAAGTTCAATCTGGTTCTTCCAGAGAGGAGAAAATCTATTAGTGAAAGCATCTTTCATATTAGTTTGCTTTTTTAGGACAGAAAAGGTAAATGACTTTAGAAGTGATCAAAACTATTTATGTACACACCAGATAAGTTTACTGCTAGGTAAATGTCTACAAGCTATTTCCTAAAATGGTGAAGATTGAGAAGAAATTAAGAGTAAATTTTTGGTAACTGTGCCACAATTATATGCACTAATTAAAACATTCCTACCCTCCCGTTGCATTACCTCCAGACTGCTGTAAATTCATTTCAACATTATTAAAGTATTTCAGAATATATTTTATTTTTATAATAATGAATCTGATATGCTCTGATAGTCTTTGGTTTACCAAAAATCATCCATACATCATTCGTTCCATTCACTTAAAGCATCATCTTCATGTATAGGTATTTCTGTTGGCGATTGGTCTAGAGAAGTTGAATCCTTGTATCTCACAGAACTCAGCTCAGAATGTATCTCAGTGGTAGAGGCTTTCGCCCCCCAGAAAGACTTCACTGCCACCCTGGTGGAAAAAGCAAAAATGAAAAGAAAACCATAATATGAAATGAAAACAAAAACTAAATGAGATTTATACTTATACTTCCTGCATACAAATATGCCCTTTATTTACAATTCAATTTAGCTTGAAATGCACCAGTCACATTGTGACGATAGATGAACTTTTAGATTTACCAGAGTTTATTATTTATACAGACAAAACTATTGTCATAAAAATGAATTGGGAGGTTACTATAATAGCAAAATTTTGAAGTTGTAAGAACCACAACTGGGCAACACAAATATTCACTCAAAAACTGTTTTTTGGGAGTCTTTTTTAGCAATTACCTTATGAAATTATAAAAATTGCATTTAAAAGCTCCCTTGTGGTTGGGGAAACAAGTCATGAGACTGTTTTTAAAAGCATCTTCATAAGAGATGGGGTAAACTGAACAAGGATAGTTGGAGGAGTGCAGGGAGTTGGACAGTCTTAAGACACATGCAGGAGATATCCTGGGCAGGGTTTGCAAGTCACTAGATGAGGGAGGGGATAATGACAAGTATGTAAACCAAAGGTGACAAAGCATCCCGGCCATTCACCTACCAATTTATAATTATGAAGATCAATACAAAGATCACAAATACACAAATAATGACTCCTATGGTTAGCACAAAAACAAGGACTGCATCAGTGTCTGGCCTGTTTGATCTTCTCATCTGCAATTCTAAAGAAAATACATACAATTGATGATTATTTCTACTGGAAAGAAACAAGAAAAAAGAAAATGGACATCAAAATGGAAACTTTATATTTGAAAAACAACTCTAGAAAAATACATCAAGAATTAGTAGAAAGAAAATTATTAATGAACTTGCTCTCCATATTAGAAATATCCTCTTAAACATGCAAAAAATGTTGAAAGAATTTGACAATGAACACCTATATTCCCATCACCTAGATAGTCCCATTAATATTCTACTGTTTCTCTATCCAACCATCTTTCTATCAATCCATCAATTTATGGATTTATGTTCTCAGGCACTTCAATATAAATGGAAGACATCTTCCCACTTTTTCCCAAATTCTTCAACAGGCATATCATTACTTAGAGTACAATATTTCCTTAATTTTTTCCTTTGAGGTAAAATTTTCCCATAATGAATTATACAAAGATCTTAAATGTACATTCACTTAGTTTTGGCAAATGAAAACACACAGGTACATTTAACTTTAATCAATTGCAGATCAAGGACATAGAATATTACTATATCCCAGATGCTCCCTTGAGCCTGCTTCCCAATTAACGACTACCCATCCTCCAGGTGCAATTACCGATTTTCTTTTCCACACAGATGGATCCGGTCTGTTCTAGAACTTCATAAGTATGGAAACATACATTGTGTGCTCTTTTGTGTAAGGCCTTCTTTTATCCAGCACAATGTTTAGAGATTCACCCACGCTGTTTTGGGGTTTTTGTTGTTGTTTGTTTGTTTGGTTGGTTGTTTTTTTTCTTTTTTCTGACAGTGCTGGGGATTGAAGGCAGTTCCTTAGGCATACTTGGCAAGCACTCTACCACTGAGTTACATCCCTAGCCCTGCAACTATAGTTTTCTTCTTTTTTTATTATGAGTAATATCACACAATTTGTTTTATTTTCCCATTGTTCCAGTTGTAGGCTGTTAGAAATAAAACCCTGTGAATATTCTTGTTAAAGTCATTTTGTGAACATAGACTTTCACTTCTCTTGGATAAATACTTGAGAGTAGAACTGCTAGGTCATGTGGTAAATGTGTGCTTTGTTTTCTAAGAAACTATGAGACCTTCCTCAAACTGATTGTACTGGCTGTGTCTGTCTTGCAATTTCTCCCAGATTTTGGTTTGTCTACTCATTTTCCTAATGATTTATTTTAGTGAGCTGGAGTTTTTAATTTTGATGAAGTCTAATATTCAATGTTTTCTTTTATGATGATGATTATTTTGTGAGATGTATCTAAGAAACCTTTGCCTATTACCAAATCATGAAGATGTTTTCCTATTTTTCATTCATAAAGCTTTATGGATTTAGTTTAGCTTTTATACTTAGAATTAGGATACATCTCTAATTTTTGTATATGATAGAAGATTTGGGTTGACATTGTTTTCCATATAAAATCCACACACTATTCTTAAATAAGAATTCTCTCCCATATCTTTCTGTTCTTTCTGCAAATAAGGCTATTAAAGACACAAAGCTAGTCTACAGTAATAACTGTTACATTGCTATACTGTAAACTTGTGGAAAGATAATTTATACCGAGTTTTAATTATTTTGTGACTTATAGATTTATTGTGGATCTACCTGGTTGGTCCTCAAATTCTAGAATCATAAAAAATTCATGCAGAAAAGGACCACAGAGACCATTTGAACCAAATATCATATTATATATATATCATATATATAAGTAAAGCAAGATCCAGGGAGGTTTGTGATTTGTGAATGCTATGTTTTAACTGTGTTAATATTTTAATTTTGGTAAGTACCACTCTGTCAAAGTTGTCACCTGAATGGGTGATCTCATTTGCTTATTTTTCTGGATTTTCTTCCCTGTCCTCTAAATATCAAGGATTGTAACTCTATTCTTCTTAGCAATTCTAGAGCTATCAACTCAATTTATTGAGCTCTCTCACTAAATGACTTCAAGTATAATTGGGTAATTATATTTATATTTGTATTCCAAATATAAATTAAAAATCTTTTTATTTTGAAGTGATTTTAGATTTACAGAAATGGTAGATTTTTTAAATGTAAATAAAAGATAACTTTTAGGACTAAAACCTGATGAAAAATGCAAAATTCATTTCCATTTATCCACTACCTACAATACTAGCCAAGAGAGGTTGGAGAGTGAGGGATATAAGGATTTAGGTTACTATTATAGTAGTCTACTCTAAAGGGTCACATAGTCTACTTTTATATTTAATATTTTTAAAAAGCTAAATTTCCTATTGAAATTTTCTAATGAAAAATAGGCTGAATTTCAACAAACCTTATGCATAAATCAGTTTCCATGCCTATCACAAAAAAGTACTACAAACTGGATGACTTAAAAACAGCAGAAATTTATTGTTGCATATGTGGTTCCAGAGGTTAGAAATAAGGCTCTAGGGTAGCATCTTTTTTGCCTCTTCAGTTTCTGGTAGCCCAAGACATTCCTTGGCTTGCAGTAGTATAACTCCAACCTCTTCTATTTTCATGTGCCTGTCTCCTCCCTATCTCTATGTCTTTACATGACATTCTTTCCTGTCCTCAACCCTCCTCTTTCTCTCTCCCACCCACCCCCTACTTCATCCAAATTTCCCTCCTCTTATAAGGACACCAGTCATAGTGTATTAAGACCCAACCTACTCTAATATGACCTCACCTTAATTAATTCCATCCACAATGACACAATTTTCAAATATTGCCACAACTGAGTACTGGGAGATTAAGATTTCAAAGTATCTTGGGGAGGTACAATTTAATCTACGATAATGCCTAATACAGAAAACAGCTATTGTGGAAAATATGATATATAAAAAAATGGATAGAAAATTTTAATTAACTAAACTATTATTTACCCTAAAATATTTCAATTCCATATTTGTTTCAAGCTAGTACCACATTGTGCACATTGGACATTTCTAACCAAAACATTTCTTTGATGTCTAAACAGCTAAAAGGTCTATTAAAGTGGTGTTCCCAATTGTCACTTAAAAAAGAAACTAATAGATACTGAAGCATTCTGAAAACATTTTGTTCTTTAACTAGTACATGGCCTAAGATGACAGCACTACTCCCAGAAGCCCTGGGCTGCTACAAGAGAGAAAAGTCAACTTTGTCTCAATAAAGGACAGGTATTTGAAGGTGCCTTACTTTGGCACTACCAAGTATGTGTTCTTTCTAATCATGAGAGGACTAAACAATCCTACCAGGGACCAAAGCAATGAGGATAAAGTCCAAGAATGGCATAGATATCATAAACTAGGGCAGGTTGAGATATTTTTTAAATTTGATAATGTTCTTTTTCTCCTTTGCCTTTTTTAGCACTTTATTGAAATTATCTTTTTGATGACACCTGACACACCAACAGAGTATTGGTTATTACCTTTCATCATGAAGATTATTTTAAGTTGTTAACTAAAGAACACATCAAAGAAAGTTTAAATAGTACCCTACTTTCATTTCGATAAGAAGCATTAGGTTGTGCAGTTGCCCCAGACTACAGCAGAAGCAGTTTATTTGGAGTTCAGAAATAGCTTCAAAAATCTATAAATTCCCTTAAAATTACAAATCACTTTTGGCATGTTTGTATGTGTGGATATTTTTCTGGGACAAACCTCCAGAGTCTTTATTGAATTCCCAAAAGAACTTGTGGCCAAATCCCCTAAATTCCTAGCAACAAAGAGGATAATATTAAAAATGGTTAAGAGCAACTAAAACAAAAGGAAATAATTACCTGGACACAGAAGACATAATGGATTAAACTGAAAGGATGTGCACGTGGATCTATCTCACAAGTGAAACGCAATTTCTAATATGCAAAATTATGTTCAGGACAAGATTTGCCTTTTGTGACATACATCAAGAACTGTATTATTATATCATCAAAATATTTTCTTCAAATAAATATTTTTAAGGAGAAATGCTCTGACATCATGTTTCATAATTGCATTTATTTTTCTGCACCAAGATTTTTGTAAGCATTCCTGACACTTCTATTTGCCCATTTTTATTTTTATGATGGAAGTCAACAGAAGAATATATTTCAAGGTAAAGGACTGTTCTTTAAAGGGTCAGTTTCATCTTGGAACTTAATGGAAAGGCAAATTCATGTGTCAGCTCTAGCCCAGAACTACTGAGTCAGAAGCTCTAGGGGTCAGACTAGTAAACCAAAACACTGCTGGGCACTTACCATTTGTTGTATAGATTGTGAATTTAATAGTTGCTATTATTTCACCATTTTCCAGGGTTTCACACTCAAAAGCCATGGGGTGAACATCTCTTCGAACTTCTAGGACTGCTGAATCATTTGGAAGTACAACAGGTTGCTATTTTTTAAAAAAAATAAAGTGTCAACATTCTTCACTGTATTAATATTAGAGAACAGTTTATTTCCTTTAACAAAAGAAGAGTCAGCACTGATTCTCTTAGTCTAGTATGGGTTTGAGGAGCATACACAAGAATTTTTGAAGTTAGATAATCTAGACTTCAAATCCAACCCTAGCACTTCCTGTCTATGTGAGTGTTGACAATTTACTATCCCTCAATTACACATCTATAAAATGGTATATTGGTACAAATTACCTCATAGTGCTGTTATGTGTATTAAAAGAGACACTAGCACTCAAGGTACATATGACACTTAAAAAAACTTTAATTAATGTTAGTCACTGTTATTATTATACAATTCATATATAAATCAATGAAAAGCTTGTTTCCAAAATAAATACTTTACAAACAGACTAAGATGAAGGATAGCCAATAACCCCAGAACTCTGAGCTCTCTCACGTCTGAAAGAAAACTTCAGATTCATCAGCTCCTCCACCAAGTTAAGGTATCACCAATACACAGGCAAACTAATGTACAATGACTAACCTTTAAATGAGTTTTTCATAGCACAAAACAGCCCCAGAAGCCTGGGTGCTGTGACTGCTACACTAGTCTGCTACACAGTGGTTCACTCACCCTCACCCTACCCTCAATCCCATTTCTGCTTTTGTTTTCTTTTCCCCTCTCTGAAAAAAGCAAAAACCCAATGCAGAGAACTGCAGAACAAGTTCCTAAAGCACCTAGGTTGTCCTGGACCCACCAAAATTTGTGAATGCAGAACCTCTAACTGGCACCTGCCTGCAACCAGAGCTGCTGAACCCTAACACTACCAAGAGAAATACAACCCTTTCAGGTGAGCATGTGCACTACATGCTCTGGAGGAAACCACATAGTCCAGTGCAACTTCCAGGCAGACTGCACCCCTCACGGACAAAGCTGTTAACCTCATAAATGCAGGGGAAATTCCAGCAATGCCTGGTGAGGGAGAGGCAGGCCAGCAGCAACTTTCTTTAAAGTGCTGGACTGATCCAGCCTGTGTAGGTGTGGAATGGTCCAGCCTGTGGAGCCTGGGAAAAAGAACAATTTGACCACCTTGGAGAAACTGGTAGCAAGCTGAAACTAACAGCCTTCCCAGAGAAGAGTGTTTGACCAAACTGATGAACTCCAGCTCCCAGGCTTGCCCTGTGGACAAAAGGGGCTAGCCAGTACTCACACATTAGTAACTCATGGGACCACATCAGATAACCCACTTACTCAGACAAGCTGACTCTGACTGTCCACACCCCTCAAGAAAAGCCTGGGCTTAAGGGGCACCATCAATTGCCATATAGCCAGGCATATTCACCCTAAGGGCAAGGGACCCAGAGAAAGCCTCTGTCTGAAGGGACAGCACCCAGATTCGAAATTAGAGGAAAGTGCCAAGAACACTCATTGAACTTAGAGGAAACCCACTCCTCTCCATAACAAGAAAGAAAATATGGAATATGTACATACATACATTTTTTGTTACTTATCTCCTTTTTCCATGCTGTTGAAATTCTAATTTACTTAGCCCTCTCTTTTTCTATTTTTTCTCTTCCCTCATTTTTTCTTTCCTTCTTTTTTTACTTCTTCCTTCTCCTTATTTTCATCTCTTCCCTCTCCTTTTCCCCCCACTGTCTCTATCTTCTCTACACTCACCACTCACTACGTAGTCTATTATATCAACTTTGCATATTACTTTTGTCCTTCCTTCCCTCTGCAATCCCTAACAATAGTACCCTCCTCCACACAACTGAACTATACCTTTATACACATTAGGGCCTTATTACCCCATAGCACCCACACCTCAAACCTCTTCTCTTCCTTGCCCCATCCCCCTGTCTCCTATCCCCATCATTTTAATGATCTAAGTATCAATATCTATGAAAAATCTTATCTCCTTAATACCCACTGTTTATAGGTAATACTGCCAGGATTTTATATTTATGTAAATAACTGATTTAGCATTGAATCCATGAATTTGTTATTACTGAGTTACACCTACAGGTCAGTGAACAGAAATGTTACAACAACCTAGCTAACAACTAAGTCAGCCATAGCCTCAAAATTAAGTGAAGAAAATGTTAACAGGTGATTAAAATCTCCCCACCTCCAACTAATCAAAAACACATGAGTTTTTTATTAAATTTCAAAATAGAAACACGAGGAATAAAAGAAGACAGGGGAATATGACTCCTCAAAAGGTTAACAATCACACAATAGAGGATTTGGTGGACAGTGAAGGGGATGAATCAGTTGTTGAGGTCAGAAGAATGGTGATAAAAATGTTTAACAAGCTTAATATGGAGCTTAGAGCACATACAAAAACAACTCAATGATCCCAAGAGAATACAGAAAAAAATTTGAGAAGACAGAGAAATAGCTAAATGAAATCAAAGAGGATTTCACCAAGCACAGGAACAAAACCAAGGAAACTATTTAAAAACAAAGAGAGATAAAGGAAAGAAAGAAGGCATTTTGAGGAAAGAGGGGCTTAACAATGATATGGAAAGTCTCAAAAAAAAAAAAAAAGAATCAAACAGAAACCTTGAAAACAAAAATTTCCTTAAGTCAAATAAAAAATACAGTTGAAAGACACTCCAGCACAAGGGAACAAGTGGAAGACAGAATTTCAGGGCTTGAAGACAAAATTGATATTTTTTTTGTTTTGTTTTGTTTTGTTTATTGTTTTATTATTCATATGTGCATACAAGGCTTGGGTCACTTCTCCCCCCTGCCCCCAGCCCCTCCTTTACCACCCTCTCCGCCCCCTCCCTCTCCCCCCCCTCAATACCCAGCAGAAACTATTTTGCCCTTATCTCTAATTTTGTTGAAGAGAGAGTATAAGCAATAATAGGAAGGAACAAGTGTTTTTGCTGGTTGAGATAAGGATAGCTATATAGGGAGTTGACTCACATTAATTTCCTGTGTGTGTGTGTTACCTTCTAGGTTAATTCTTTTTGATCTAACCTTTTCTCTAGTTCCTGGTCCCCTTTTCCTATTGGCCTCAGTTGCTTTTAAGATATCTGCTTTAGTTTCTCTGCGTTAAGGGCAACAAATGCTAGCTAATTTTTTAGGTGTCTTACCTATCCTCACCCCTCCCTTGTGTGCTCTTGCTTTTATCATGTGCTCAAAGTCCAATCCCCTTGTGTTTGCCCTTGATCTAATGACAAAATTGATATTAAAGAAAAAAACCAAAAGAATACTTAGAGAAAGACTTAAGAGTTGTGAAAGAAATATGCAAGAACTCTGCGACTCCATCTAAAGACCAAACCTGTGAAACACGGGCAACAAAATGATAGCAGAAAACTTTCCAAATCTCAAGAAAAAGATAACATGCAGGTACAGGAAGTCTTTAGGACACCAAACAGACATGGCCAAAAGAGAACCTCTTCACAGCATATTATAGTTAAAATAATTAGCACAGAAAACAAGGAAAGAATATTGAAGGCTGTAAGGGAAAAATCAAATAACATATAAAGGTAAAATCCATCAAAACAACAGCAGATTTTTCAAAGAAATCTTAAAAGCAAGAAGGTCATGGAGTGAGGTATTTTGAGCACTGAAAGAAAACAATTTCATTCCTAGGATATTCTATCCAGCAAAACTATCTTTCAAAATTGAAGGAGGAATAAAAACCATCCATGATAAACAGAAACTAAAACAATACATGACCACTAAAGCAACACTCTAAAAAATTCTCAAAGAAATCCTACACACAGAAGATGAAAAATAAACATAGTCCTGAAAGGATAAGAATTATTAAATCTCAAGAGAAGAGCAGACAAGTAATTAGAGAATAGCATAGAATTAACTGTACACACACACACACATACACACCCTTATATAACAAAAACAACTAAATGACAAGAATCACTGCATAGTTCTCAATAGTAACACTGAATATTAATGGCCTCAACTTCCCCATCAAAAGAGAGTGATTGGCAAATCAGATTAAAAAGGAAAATCTGACAATTTGTTGTTTATAAGAAACCCATCTTATAGATAGAAATAAACATTGCCTTAGGGTGAAAGGGTAGAACAAGATTAACTAAGCTAATGACCCTCCAAAGCAGGCAAGAGTAACTATATTTGTATCAGCTAAAGTAGACTTCAAACCTAAATTAGTCAGAAAAGACAAAGAAGGTCACTTCATACTGATAAAAGGAGCAATACATCAAAAGGAGATAATAATCGTTAACTTATATGTGCCCAATGTTGATACACTTGACTTGGTTAAACATACACTACTGGACTTAAAAACAAAGGTAGACCCTAACACAATAATAGTGGGAGACTACAGTACTCCTCTATCATCAATAGATAGGTCATCCAGACAAAAATATCAACAAAGAAACTTCAGAATTGAATGACACCAGAGATCAAATGAAACTAACAGACATTTACATAGTATTCCATCCTGCAACAGTACAATATACATTCTCAGCATTCCATGGAACTTTCTCTAAAATAGATCATATTTTAGTCACAAAGCAAGTCTTAACAAATATAAGAAAACTGAAATAACCTGCTGCATACTATCTGAACACAATGGAATAAAACTAGAACTCAACAACAAAGAAACAGCATAAAATACTCAAACACCTGGAGACTGAAAAACATGTTTATTTATGATCAGTGGATCATCAAAGAAATAAAGAGGGAAAATAAAAAAGTTCCCAGGATTTAAGGAAAATGAAAGCATAATCTACCAGAATTTATGAGATACAGCAAAGACAATGTTAATGAGAAAGTTTATATAGCCATGAATGCATATATCAAAAACATAGAACAATCTCAATTAAATGACCTAATGCTGAATCTCAAACTCCTAGAAAAACAAGGATAAGCTAAACCCAAAACTAGTAGGATAGAAATAATGAAAGGGCCAAAATCAATGAAATAGAGAGCAAAAAATGATACAAAGAATCAACAAAACAAAAATCTGGTTTTCTGAAAAGACAAATTAGAACCCCTAGCAAATATGAATAAATTAAAGGAACAGACCCAAGTTAATAAAATTAGAAATGAGAAAGGGGTGATCACAATGAACACCAAGGAAATCCAGGGAATCATTAGGGATTACTTTGAAAACCTATATTCAAATAAATTGGAAAATCTAGGAGAAATGGACAAATTTCTAGACACATATGACCATACAAAATTGAAACAAGAGGATATAAATCACCTAAATAGATCCATAGCAAGCAATGAAATTGAAGCAGCAATAAAGAAAATCCCAAAAAGGAAAAGTCTAGGACTTGGCTGATTCACTGCTGAATTCTCCCAGACCTTTATACTAATAATCCTCAATATTTTCCATGAAATAGAAAAGAAAGGAACACTGCCAAAATCATTCTATGAATCCAGTATTACATTTATCCCCAAATAAGACAAGGACACAACAAAAAGAGATAGTTACAGGCCAATCTTTCTACTGCAAAAATCTCTCAATAAAAAACTGGCAAGCCAAAATCAACAACATATCAAAAAGATCTGACCCTATACCATAATCAAGTTGGTTTCATCCCAGGGATGGTTCAACATATGTAAATTGTTAAATGTAATACAACATATTAGCAGAAGCAAGGACAAAAATCACATGATCATCTCAAAAATGCAAAAAAAGCCTTTGACAAAACTCAACATCCTTTCATGATAAATGAGCTAATGAAACTAGGAATATAAGGAATGTACCTCAACAAAATAAAGACTCTATACAACAAGCCTATATCCAACATCATTCTAAATGGGGGAAAATTGAAACCAATTCCTTTAAAGTCAGAAATGAGACATGATGTGCATTCTCTCCACTCTTATTCAACAGTTTAGGAATTCCTACCTAGAGCAATAAGACAGGAAGAATTAAAAATAAAAGGAATTCGAATAGGAAAGGAAGAAGTCAATCTATCCCTATTTGCAAATAACATGATCTTATACCTAAAAAACCCAGAAAAACTCCATGAAAAAAACTCCTAGATATCATAAACACATTCAGCAAAGTAGCAAGGTACAAAATCAATTTATAAAAATCAGTAGCCTTTCTAAATACCAACAATGAACAGACTGAGAAAGAATATAGGAAAATAATTCCATTTATAATAACCTCAAAAACAAACCTGGAAATAATGTTAATAAAGGAACTGAAAGACCTCTACAATGAAAACTGTAAACCACTGAAGAAAGAAATTAAAAAAGACTACAGAAGATGGAACGATCTCCCATGCTTATGGATTGGTAGATTCAATTGTGTGAAAATGGCTATATTACCAAAAGCAATCTACAGGTTCAATGCAATAACATTCATACAGACATTGAAAAATCAACCCTAAAGTGCATATGGAAGCACAAAAGATCTCAAAGAGTCAAGGCAACCTGAGCAAAAAGAGAAACACTGCAGGTATCACTCTTCTTGACTTCAGACTATACTACAGAGACATAGCAATTAAAACAGCACAGTACTGGTACAAAAACAGTCATGAAGACCAATGGAACAGAATAGAAGACCCAGATATGAATCCATACAGCTACACCCACCCGATTTTTTAAAAAGGTGCCCAAAATATATGATAGAGAAAAGACAGCCTCTTCAATAAATGTTGCTGACAAAACTGGATACCTGCATGCAGAAAACTGAAACTAGGTCCATGTCTCTTACTCTGTATAAACATCAACTCAAAGTGGATTAAGGACCTGAATATAAGGCCTGAGACTTCAAAACAACTACAGGAAGTAGTAGGAAATACACTGGAACATATAGGCATAGGCAAGGACTTCCTAAATAGAATTCCAGTGGCTCAGCAAAAGAAATGATGACAAATAGGACTGTAAAAAACTAAAAAGCCTCTGCACACCAAAAGAAACAGTCACAAGACTTAAGAAATTGCTCACAGAATGGGAGATATTCTTTGCCAGCTACTCATCTGATAAAAGACTAAAAAATATCCAGAATCTACAGGGAACTTAAAAAACTCAACCCCTAAAGAATAAACAACCCAATGAAGAAGTGAGCTCATGAATTGAACAGGGAATTTTCAAAGGAAGAAGTGCAAATGACTAATAAATACATGAAGAAGTGCTCAACTTCCCTGGCCATAAAAGAAATGCAAATCAAAACTACACTAAGATTTCATCATCCATTTAGAATAGCGATCATCAACAACACAAACAACAACAAATGCTCTCAAGGATATGGTGAAAGAGGAACCCTTACACACTGCTGGAGGGAATGTAAATTAGTGCAACCATTATGGAAAGCAGAATGGAGATTCCTTAAAAAACTAAACATAGAACTGCCATATGATCCAGTGATACCACTCCTGGGCATCTACCCAAAGGAATGTAAGTCAGGATACAATAGAGACACTGACGTTTATTGCAGCACTGTTCACAATAGCCAAGCTATGGAAACAACCCAGATCCCCAACAACTGACGAATGGACTAAGAAAATGTGATTGATTGATAGACAGATAGATAGATAGATAGATATAAAATAGTTTTATTCATTCATAAGGAAGAATGAAATCATGAGGTTTGAAGGCAAATAGATGCAATTGGAAGACATCATGTTAAGTGAAGTAAGCCAGACTCAGAGAGACAAAGACCAAGTTTTTTCTCTCCTATGTGGAAGATAGATCCAAAAGATAAACATATACACAAAAACAAACATGATCATATACAAACTCATATGCAGAACATGTTTGTAATAGTGGAACTACTTTATAGAACTTGGGGAAGGAAGGAAAGGAAAAAAGAATGATAGAGAGTCAACAATATTGAAATACAAAACATCTGTGCAGGTAGAAGATATACCTGTTGAATAATAGGGGGGTAAGGAAATGGGTTAGGGAGAGTTATGAAGGGGTTGAACTGACCAAAGCAAAGTATATTCACAGTGGGTATACATTGAGACACCCCTTTGAACATTGATTTTGGAATTAATAAAGAAAGACAGGACTATAAAATAGGTACAGTTGGAGGAGATGAAGGTGAGGGACTTCATATACCTACACAAAATAGAATGATTAAACCTCTTGCAATTGCTTTACATGTGGCAGTGAGGGGTTTGTGGGGGGCAGGGAGGAGATGGTGGGGAAGATCTAGCCAATGTATAATGTAAGGCTATTTGGAATTGTCATAATGAATCCACTTTGTACAATGACTATATCCTAATAAAGATGGGGAAAAAAGCCAAAATAAATACTTCATATAAAATGGATGTATTAAAGTTCTGTTTAGTTGCCCCAAGAAATATATAAAGGTTTAACCTCACTATGTGAATTCCAATAAAAATAAATGTATATGATTTTTTTTGGCAGTCCTGGGATTTAAACTTAGGGCATGTGCTTGGTAGATAAGCACTCATCTGCTTGAGCTATGCCTCCAGACCCTTTTGCTTTGGATATTTTTGAGATAGGGTCTTGCCTTTTACACAGGCTGGCATGGAACATGATCCTTCTATTTATGCTTTCCACCATAGCTGGGATGACAAGCATGCACCACCACATCCAGCTATTGGTTGAGATGGGGTCTCACAAACTTTTTAACTGGGCTGGTCACAAACTGTCATCCTCCTAATCTCATCCTCCCAAGTAGCTAGGATTGTAGGCATGAAAGCTGCAATTACAGAATTTTTAAGTTTATTTTTTAAAACTGCTTTGAAAGAGCAGTTTTCTGAGAGTCATGAGAACTGAGAAACAAATTTTGCCACCCACTAGAAAACACCAGACTCTACACATTCATTACTTACTTGGTCTGGTCTTAGAAGTTTCCACATGTACTTGAAACGATTTGCAGGAGATACATGAACACATGCCAGTCTAGCACTTTCAAGACTTTCTGAAAGTGGTTTACCCCCTGAATAAAAAGAAAAATTAAATAATACATAAATATCATTGGGCATAAAATTGCTTTATACATTATACTACTTTTTAAAAGCCATCCTCAATTATACCAAATCTTATAATTGAGTATAGGGGATATGAGGAATGATGGACGCGAAGATAAAGTCATGAAGTGAAGCAGGTGAGGAAACACCATTGTTATCTTCCATGCAGAATAAATTGTGGAGCAGAGGTAAAAGCAATCAACTCAGTGGTCTGTTACACTGAACTTTGAGATTTGTTAGTAGCTTCCAAGTTACAGGTTGGGAAACTTCATTACAGACAGAATAGCATAGAGACAGAATAGTATACTTTGATATAGAATAGCTCTCAGTTTCCAATTTAAGATTTACCAATCTACCAATAAAGTGCCATGACCAAACCATCAAAAGTATTTCACTATAGGACCAATTCAACCACAGACTACTGAGTACTCCAGTGTACTACAAAGGATACATTTATTAAATTTTAGACATCACTGAAAAATGTAAAGCAAAAGCAGAAAGTTCTTCAGAGTTACGCATGTCTAGAGAAGAAGTGAACATTTTATGATTCTCATTCAGTATGTCAATTGATTATCTCCTCACTCAGTGGCAATCAGAGATTAAGGACATTCCCCAGAGTAAACTCATCCCCTCAATCACCCTCCAACCTGAAGTCCAACTCACAGCCACAATCTACAGGTCCACGGCATTCTTCTACCCGGACGATGCACTTGGATTGACCTCCAGGGCATCCATTTGTTAATATAACTTCTCTAATGCCAATACCTTTGGTAAAAGAAGGCAAGTATTATGGAAAACCAATTGCAGAGGGTTATTGCTTTCCCATTTAGGTCTGTCTTCCTCCTTTTCTTTCATTCTTTTTCTCTCTTTTTTGAGACTTTTCTCCTAATTTCAGAAGTTAAATTCCTAACTTCAGTGTGAAAATATTTAGTTTTCTTAAGCCTCTCATTCTGAATTACTTCATAAAAATAGTATCTCCTCAAGCAACTTAAATAAGGAAAAAGATTCCATAAGAAAAAGGATTTCCATAAGAAATGTTACCATAAGAAAAAGGATTCCATGAGCATATACATGTTTGAAAATTATGTATATTAACTTTAAATGAAATTAAAGGAATCATTACTGCCTAAGTTTTGGAAATGTTTAATATGCTAGCAAATTAATGTTACTGTGTGTGAATTTTTTTGATCTAAAATACATTTATAAATATAGTTGTGGCATGTCATTTTTTATTGGCAGCATTTTTCCTTTATACAATACATAAGATGTGTTTCTTACAGCTGATTTGATGAAATACACAGGATTTCCCAAACTTACCTGATCATGGAACTTTTTGGAGTTGGGGAAGGGAGCTTCTGGAGGGAATTCCAGAATCATATTTTACCATAAACAATGCTTTTTTAATATTTAGATTGATAGTCTCTGCATTAAATGCAGACAGGATAACCTACTAATAACCAAATTGCAATTTCCAGCAAGATAGTCTTTTTAGAATTGTCACACATTTTTGTAACAAGAAATCAAATCTTTACTAACAGGTCCTAGAGCTCCACTCAATATGTCTTTTGTTCCCAGAATTGATGGAAATGATAACACTGGATCAGCAGCATATTCAACCATGTCCTGTGATAAGACTGCATGGTCACAGGGTAAGGAAAAGTCCATGGTTAGTTTTTTGTTGTTGTTATTCTGTTTTGGTGGCACTGAGTTTTGAACTCAGGGCTTCATACTTGCTAGACAGGAGCTCTACCTTCAGGTGTGGCGTCACACCTCCAGCCCTTTTGTGTGCATTATTTTTGTGATAGAATCTTATATTTTGCCCAGGCTGGCCTATTTTGTACTTAATGCCATCACTGTGGGGACAGGTGTACACCCCAGTGTGTAGCTTTTTTGGGTTGAAATCAGGTCCCACCAACATTTTCTTTTTTTTGCCTGAGCTTTTCTGGAACCACAATTCTCCCAATCTCAGTCTCCCATGCAGCTAGGATTACAGGTATGTGCCTGGTGGAATAGTCCATCTTGATTTCCTTGACTACCAGATTCCCTCTTTCAGACCTATGAGATGCTGATCATAAAACCCATTCTCCAGGAAAAGAAAGTCTGCAGACTAGACTCTGACTCCCTACAAAGTTAGAGTAAAAACCAATGCAACAGTAACTCTAGCCTATAATTCCAGCTACTTGGGAGGCTGAGATCAGGAGGATTGTAGTTCAAGGCCATCCTGGGCAAATAGTTTATGAAACCCCCATCTCCAAAATAACCAGAGTATAATGAACTAGAGATGTGGTTCAAGTGGTAGAGAGCCTGTTTTGCAAGCACAAAGCCCTGAGTTCAAACCTTAGTTCCAACAAAACAAATACAATGCTTCTCAAACTTAAGAGAGCATCAAAATTGCCTGGAAATCTTATCAAAATGCAAATTCTGACTCAGTCTGTCTTGAAAAGATAGAAACTTCCACATTTCTAACAAGTTCTTTATGAAGCTGATGCAGCTGTTCTGTGGATCTTTTTGAGTACCAAGGGAAAGGACTCTATATCAGATCCCAGGATGGAAGGATGGAAGAGGAAAGGTCTTATATTATTAAAAGAGATAGCTAAGAATGGCTTCAGTGTGCCCCACTTGAATTTATGAATGGCACATCTTTAGCGGCATGTCCGTGTTCCAAAATGCATAAATATTTCCCAAGCAAGTATTCTATGTATCTATTTAGCTAAATAAGGAACACCCAAAAATCTGCCTAGGTATAAAAGAAAACTTTTCTACTGCTAAAATATTGTTTTAGGAGTTAAATACTAAGGTGTTTTTCTTTTCTACCTACTAGTTATTAATTGAAAATATTTTTAATATTTTAGATATGAAATGTTGAGGGACAGAAAGTAGGATATAGGTAGTTAGGGAAAGATGGCAGATTCCACGTGGCACAAGTAGTGCAGGGGCTTCTTTGTCCCAACATGCCCTATGCTGGGAGGTCCCCTGCACTTCTGTACTCATGCGGCACTCATGCACACAGATGAGGGAAAGACTGTATGGCCAGAAAGTGATGGACGCCTAGGCAAATTGAAATGGAAGGCATACCCCACGCCACCTAGGGGAGGGGGAGGGAGGATCTTAAGAAGGGAAATTCTGGGGGATGTCATCAGACTACAAATTCCTGGTCCCTTTCTCACTGGAGAAGTTCCTGCTTTACTTCCACTTTCTATTTCCACAATAAATCTTTGCTAAACTCTCTCACAATTTTCCTGCCTCTTTATTCTTTATCTAGTGGAGAAAAAGAACCTGTACTCCTAGACGGTAGCAACTTTGGAGGCTCATCTGGGAAACTGAGAGACCATCAAGGACCACTATCTCAAGGTAAGTATATGCCAAGCATATACTGAAGAGGAAAATTGGAAAGTGGCCGTTGATTGTCCAGCACTCCTGACATTTGCCAACTTGGAGTGCCCCTTGCCACAACTAGCACAGCTGAACCTCCCAGCAGGTGACCCTTTCTCCCATTCTCTCCCAGAAATGAGAGGTAGGGCCCACTGTCCTAGGCAGAAGTGGGGCTCCTTCTTTTCAGACATTTGGTGAAGGAGTCTGTCTCCCACATTCAACCAATAGATACATCATTTGTGCCTTCTTTGAGTCCCCTACCCATTCTGTTCACCACTTTTCAATTGTTTTTCTCCTCCAGAAGGCTCAGATATGTCCTCTTTCCTTTAATTAGACACTTGACCCATCATACCCCAACAGTACCCCACATGGCTTCAAAATACGTACAGGACTTGATGGCCATGGGAAAAGAGGCAGTCCCTTAAGTGTTAATTAGCCAACTCCTCTGAGCAATAAAGGGAGAACTGGACAGACTCCAACACTGGACCCTAAATCTACCCTTGCCACTCTGCATAGCTATCTGATCACAGGACTATGAAGCCCATTACAAGGCCGACTTCACCACCTCCTCAAGGCCCTTCATTTCTGAAGCCCTATTTAAAATCATGGCCATTGGCAAATGGAGAGAAGAGATATCGGGGATAAAAGAAACAGAAAGGGACAAAACTCAGGCAGGATCATACCAGTAATGGTGACCCAAATCCAGACAGGTCCCAGAGCAACCCTAACTTCTGGTTGCATAGGCAGAGGCGATAGTCAAAGGGGAAGATGTTGACCTTGTAAAAGGGGTCAGGACCTTTTCGGAGGTGTCCTATTAGGGAGACTTGACTCATGGGGTTCTTTTTCTGTCTCAGATGGGCATGAGCTCCTCCAAGATCCCTGAAGGATCCCCCTCACCTGCCTGCTAAAACACTGGGAGGACCTAGATCCCCAGAGCCAGAAGAAAAAGGCCCTAGTATTTTATTGTATTGAGGCCTGGCCCAAATACCTGTTGGGAGACAAAAAAACCTGGCCCAAAGGCAGCAGCCTTAATTACAACACTATTCTACAATTAAAGCTATTCTGTAGAAGGGAGGGTAAATAGATAGAAGTTCATTATGTCCAGCTTTTCTTTTACCTGAGGGATCACCCTGAATGGGCCAAGAGATATAAACTCGACTCCCAGAGTTTGGCTATGGTCTACTCCAATGTTCATTCAAATGCCTTCAGTTAAATTGAAACCTTCCCTGAGGCATCTCCTAGTGAGATGAACAACCCTCCCCTAAAGACTGAGCTTCTACCCCGAATGGCTGCCCCACCAACTGGGACAGGAATTTATCCAGAAACTGAGGAAGTTGGAGAATCAACTGGAACCCTGTCCTCCTTATCTGGGAAACAAATATACTCAAAGGAAGGAGTTTCATAGGCCTCATCCATGAATGTTTCCCATGAGAACAATACCAGGGGGTGAATATGGGCCTGAGTTTGTTCATATACCCTTTTCTTTTAGTGAGCTAAAAAAAGTAAAAAGAGACTTATGGAGATATACCAATAACTTGGATCACTATGGCCAGGTCTTCCAGCAACTTACCCAACTCTACAGCATGACCACATTACTATTAGACTCTTAGCTCCCTAGAGAAACAGAGGGTCCTCAGTCAGGTGGTAGACACTGGAAACAACTATAATCTGCCAGAAGGTCCCAATGGACTATAGGAGAAATACCCACTGGAGATCAGGCTGTTCCCTTCCAGGACCCCAAACAGGATATGGAGGATGAGAGACATGAGTGGGAAAGAAATAATTTCATATATTGCATACTAGAGGGATTGAGAAAGGCTAAGGTAAAGGACCTAAATTACTCCCAGCTGGCTGCCATCCACCAGGGTAAAACTGAGCCTTCATGGTATTCCTTCAATAGTTGAAGGATGCCATCCAGAAACATACTAATGTGGAACAAGGAACACAGGAGGAGGAGATCATTCTAAACGATAAATTTTTGACACAATCAGCCCCAGATATTCATAGAAAACTCCAAAAACTGGTGGCTGAACCAGGCAAGTCATTGGATCAGTTGGTCCAGGTGGCTACCACTATATTCTATAATAGGGACCTGGAAAAGAAAAGGAGAAAGGACAAACATCAGGAGGTGATGATTGAGGCCATGCAGGTAAATCCTTCAGGAGCACACCCTAACACATGGGCCTACTTCCTGTGTGGACAGGAAGGCCATTTTAGGAGGGTCCCCACTCCACCCCACCGCAAAGGCAAAGACCACCTCTGGGACCCTGCCACATCTGTAAGGGGAACCCCTGGAACTCTATGCACCTGATACCAGACAGGATAGGGTTTACTGCCTTCTGGGGAACAATGATGGGTCCCGGAGCCTCCCATTCAGGTTCCTGTAACTGAGG